TGAAATGATTATAACGACAATATTCACCATTAAAAGTTCAATAGATGATGAATCAAGTTACTCTGAAAAAAAATGAGAAGCTAATGTTTAATCTAATAACTGTTTAGGTGTGTTCAACTAATATCATTAATAACATTATTTAATATCGTTCATTTAACCTTACCATTGATAAATCTGAATGCTAATAGACAAGGTAAAAGGTAAAACTGTATTTATTACCAACAATCATTAAAACAAAAGCTCACAGACAACAACAAGAAAAGCTATGAAAAAAAGATTGAAGTAAATTAAAATATTACATTAACAGAGATGAAAAATAATGCTTGCCATAGAGTCATAAATAATAATAACCCTAAAATTGGTAAGGAGGGCCAAAGAGGCTCTCCTCATTGCTTTATACTGGGTGTGCCTCACCATTTCCGTTTTCAAAGGAACCATTTGTTACCTGTCTTCCATCTCAACAGGCTCATCTCTCCCTCTACCTTTAATAGTGGTTAATTTATTAGATTAGATTTGATGATTGAAAGTGAAAGTAAATCTTTACCATTATCATTACCATTTGGGTAAAAGTATTAACCCAAAACCTTGTATTACATTTTAACAGGCAAACAGATTAAAGATTAATATCATTGTTGGCTCTTCATTAACCGACTACATTAAACATTAATTACTCTTTAATCTGATTTCACTTTTTCAATTAAAAGGTAAGTTACCAATAACTGTTGATATTGAAGGAGAAAACCATTTTCCCTGATTTATGGTTAGTGGACAAGCGGACAGTCAACCTTATTAATAACCCTTTTTGGGTTATTATACAACCATAAAAAAAGGTCACTTAAAATGGGTTTAAAGCTGACTTTCAAAGGTGATCATCATCTTGTAACAACAATGGTTAGTTGGATGGTTAGAAGAGGTTAAAATAATATTAATGATCATGTTGGCAGGGAATGAAACAATGAAAATTGGAGTTGAATTTGTTACGAAGGAAAACATTGTAAACCCTTTCATCCCATCTGACAATTAAACACAGGATTAAATGATAAGATATGAAATGACTAATTAAGATAATTATGAGAAAAGACTCAAGAATGAGATGAAAGTAGCAATTACAAGTTTCCATCTTATGTCAAGTAATCATCTTTTTTCCTCATCTTAACCCTTTTTCCTCTCTTCTCAACAATCTTACAACCTGTGTTCAATTTGTCAAACCTTTTCACTTTATCTTGTTCAATTTCAATAACATCTTAATAAGACAATGTTGTTGATATTATTACATGAACAACCGCAAGGAAATAAGCGAAAAGAAAATTACTTTCAAATGTCTTCATTCCATTATTATCATCATTATTATCATTATTACCATTTCATGATTACCCTTATGATTATCATTATAATTAACACAAATTATAATATCATTGAGGAACAATAATTTCCCCAAGAAAAGGGTTAACAGTGTTGGGTGAACAGTCAAAGTTGAATGGTTGAAGGAAATACATTAACATGGTAATTAAAAGCCCAAAACAAAAGGTACAATTGATTAATAATGAGATTCAACCTGCAACAATTTATCAATCAAATCTGATTGCCTTCTTAAATCAGCAAATTTACTTGAAAAGCTTCAAAGCAAACCTTCAACTTTTGTTATTGAATAACAAGTGAAATCAAATGATAAATGGTCAACATTGGACCCTTTAATGATTATGATTTTAAAAGTTATCAAAATGGTCACTTTATGTAATTAAAGAGTGAAAAGGTTATCCATAAATCATGAACAATGAACAATATTTTTGAGGTAAAAACTGAAGGTTAGTTAAAGGTTGCTTTCATTTATCACGGTTAAAGGGCATTAATTCATTGCCTTTAATGCAATAAATAACAATTAAGAAGGGAAAACAATTAAATGTTGACCAGAATTAATGTTTAATGAACAATTTAAAAATAGAATTGATAAATGGATTTGGATTTGGTGAGCAAAATTTCATTGAATTTGGGTTGAAGAGTAAAAGATTGGAAAGGTTTTTTAAGCAAACATTGAATTGACAGCAAACATTTCAACCGATTCTCTGATTAAATATTATAATCAAATGAAGTACATTGAAATAGAGTGGAAACAATTTAATTTAAGAATCCAGATGAAGCAAGAAGATGGAAAAATTTCAATTCTGAAAAAGTTAAACTGATTGAAACTGATTAACATTCAACTCTGAAGAGTTGATTTACATTTTCAATATTTTCAACCATTACTCTGATTGTTACAACAATTTGCTCATTCACTTTAAATCATCTAAACGTTGTCTAATCATTTGTTAACATTCATTTAACCATCAATGAACATTTAAATGTTTCATGTTTACACCTTTTCCTTGATTAACATAAATATCAATGAGAATCGGTTAAATCACTATTAATATGGAAAAGTGGAAATTGATTTACAAAAGTTAAATGATTAACTTTTACTCTTCAATGAAACTCAATCAATTGAATTACACTTTTTAAATAATTATTTTCTTATTTCACCAAATTTCTTTGAACCAAAATTCAATTACTTTCCCTGGAAACAAATTAACATTCAATTTGAATAATTTTGTATTCACAAGTTTACAGATTGTCATGAAATATGATTGAATCTGGAAAGAGTTGAATCGGTTCATTACCATAAACTGAATACAGAATTAAAGATTTTGCTAAACTGAATGGACAATGAATAGTGAAAGTGAATGAACATGAGAAAAGCAGGGAATTTGTTCCAACTTGGCTTTTCTAGTATTTGTTGTTATTGTTGAAACAAAAACAGTAAAAGGAACCACAAAAAATGAAAATGCTGAGAGAGAAAAGTAAAGATTTCTTGAACAAAAAATGCGATTTAAAAAAATCCTGAGTAAGAATTTTTCTTTTTCTCAGATTCTGTATTTTTGTTTTCTTGAATCTTTTTTGATTCTTTGTTGGTTTTTGTGATATAAAAGTTTAGGAAACAAAAAAATGATGAAAGTGATGATTGGAAACATGGAATCATGATAAAGTCTTGTGATGATTTTTGTGCTCAAAAGTAGATGAAACTCAATGGAAACTCATTATTTGTTCAACAAGAGAAGCAAGAAAATACAATAAAAAAGATTTCGAGATGAAAATGATTGAGAGAATGAAAAAATTCTGGTAAACCCTTTTAACGTCTTGAGATTTCACTTTTTCGCCCAAAATTTCATTCTACTCTTGGAGTGAAAACTTTTTTTCCTCAAAACAAAATTCACTTCTTTGTGCGTGTTTCATGATGAAAATGGTGAACATTTCCATTAGGAAGATTTTTCTATTTTCAATTGATCAATGATTTCGAATTTTGCACTTTTTTCTTTCCCCTGTTTTCTGAACAAAGTTTCACTTGGATGAGAATTCATTGAGTTTTTTATTTCAAACTTGAGTAACAGTCACTGATCAGACAATAATGAACAAAGATTATCACTTTACCAATCAACTTTTCCAACAAATGGAACAAGGAAAATGGAAAAGAAAATCATTTTTCCCTGAAAAATCTGAGTCAATGGAAACAAATGTGAAAAAAATCAGATAAATGCTGGAAAATATTAGCTGTTGGTTTGCAATCAACTTTTCCTATTCTTTGAGACAATTTTTCCTTCCATTATCATCAAAATTCATTCCCAATGTTAACAATTAAAAGCAATTATTGAAATCATTGAAACAGGGAATGATGATATTGTTGTATCGATCATAATGAACATTGATTGTAATACAAGAATATGAAAAAAACCTCTTTTCTCTCACATAATTATCAAGTTGTGTTTAAAGGTGATAACCATTGATAATAAATGGTTCCACCGAGTAATAATAATGATAATTAAATGCTTCCTGACTATGTGAGATAATAATATATCAATGAACCATTAGAAAAAGGTAGAAGAAGAAGAAAAAAAATGTTCAGTGAAAACGTTTTGTCCAAAGTAACTTATCTGTGATGTAAAGCTAATAATACTAACTGATAATATTCACATTATCATTATCAGATTGAAGATGATTATCATTTCCAGTCTCATGACCTGCCAATCCTCAGATTATAATCATTAATATATTAATATCAAGTGTAAGTTTACTTTGAAAAGCCTTTTTCCTTCCCTGTTTAACTTGGTGTAAATTTTCATTCTTGCTTTATCTTTCATCGTTTGCGCTTTTTTGGGTTCCTTTGACTCTGGATTACCCTTTTTTGTGTCTCTTTTTTGCCCTTTCAACTCTTCCCTTTACGTCTTTCCTTCTCACCCTTTAATTTTTAATGTTTTTGCCGCTTATTTGTCTATGAATTGACTCTTTTTTGCCATCAATTTTTTTCCCTTCCTCTTATATTTTCAACCTTTTTTTTCCTCTTGCCATTCAAAGTGACACTTTTAACAACAATCAAAGTGTTAACAGTGTTTATAGCCATTTGATTGTATTGCTTTTTTTCACTCTTGTGTTGTTTGATGTGATTTCAAGTGTAACGAGCGATAATAATATGAAATAATAATGATAATAAAAAGTTATGATGACTTTTCATTTCGCCTCAACGGATTGAATTTCTCTCTTTTTTATTCTCGCACATTTTTCATCACCATCAGCAGCATCACAATCCTTCTCAATCTCATAACTTTTACAATCCTTTTTTTTATTTGGTGTTGTTTGACTTTCTGAGAAGCAAATTTATCCTTTTATCTCCGTAATTTGTTTAATTTATCAAACAAACCAATTTGATTAATGAACTTCTTCTTGCACCAATCAGTTGAGCGTTTAAGGCCAGACTATCAATGAAATGGTAAATTCATAAATCATTGCATTCTAATCCATATTTTTAATAAACTTACAGTCTGCTCTTATCATTCCTACTAACACTGTGAAACTATTGTCATCGCTGCAAGCTGTAGACATTGGCAATTTATATCATGAAATAAAATTTTCAATTCAACACTTTTAACTGTTGATGTTTGATTTTTGCGCCTCTCTCCTCATTGGACCATTACTAATTAGTGATTTGTCATCTGTTGCCTAAACGGTTTCCTATTTTTTAGGACTCACTTTGAACTCTCAGTTTTATCCTCTTACCCTTATGTTTCCGTGATTATTGAATAAAATTATTGATTAGAAGCGTGAATTTTTTGACAAAGTAATACAATTCAGTGTCAACTGTCATCATCACCAGACTAAGAATGGAAGCGTAAAAAATATAAAGCTGATTGAAGCGAACCGTTAATTTCATCATTCAACAGTGTAACATTAAAAAATGTCAACTCATCGTCAGGCCTTGCTTTGCCTATTTTCTCGTGGCTTTTCTCGGTCTCTTCTTGGCTCATCACTCATGTTCACCCATCAAAACCTGTGAAACTGTGATTACATTGAGACAATCAGCAAACAATGTAAGTATTATTATGAAAGAAAAAGAACGGTAATAATCAACATGCCATTTATTATAGTACAGAAAATTGGAAACATTGAACAAATGGTTAAATGAGCAAGTTTGTCAGACCGTATGAAGAAGGCTTGAAGTATTGAGAGAAATATAAAATGGAAATAAAATGAAAATAAAAAAATGAAAGCAATGGCCTGGTTAACACGCCATTGTTGCCCTGCAAAAATAATAATCATAATGCAAGATGAAAGCAAAAGGAACCATTAAATCTTAAAAGTAAATAACAATTTTAACCTTACTTTTTTTCTCTCTTTTTTTGTAGTTGCTGCTGTATACTCATGTTGCTAGTTGATGTGTTGGTAAATTACCGATGGGCCATTTCATTCTTGGATTTAGACCAGTTCAAACAAACACTCTTGCACACATAGACACTCACAAACACAGAGAATCTTACAATTTTATTAAACTGACAAGGTGAAGGCAACCCAAAAAGAGGAACCATTGAATGTACATTTTGTTTAAACTTGACTGGTGGTTATTTCATATTACTTTTGGCCATTTCATTGAAAAGATAAGCAACCGGACACCTTATATTTTTGGCCACTTTTCTTAAGACTTTTTCCCCTTTCTTTTTACTTCTTTTCTTCTCTTCAATTTTCCTTTTCCTTTTCACCTTCACCTTTTCTTTTTCTTCTCTTTTCTTCCAGTTCAACCAAATTGTCTCGTTGAAAATGTCAAAGGAGCATCTTTAATATCAAACAAGCATGTTTATTTTCATATTTGTCATTTTCATCGAAACCCACTACTTGTATGATTTGAATTCAGTTTGGTGATAATGATTTTGAACACGCAAAATTTGGTCTTTCCTTGGATATTTATTTTTATTGACAATCATCTTCACCATCATTCCTTCATCTTCTCAAAAATGACCCTCAAGATTTAACTTTTATCAACTCGAAATTGAAGCATTTTCCAATTTCTAGTTCACAAAAGAAGCTGATGATGACCAAGGCAACCATTTTCTCATGATTGATTCAGGCTCTCCATTTGCTATTAAAATGATTTCAAGAAATGATTTGTGTTAATGTTTATGATGAAAAAAAACCCAAAATCTGGTCTCAATTTTATTTATTTATTTATTTGTATTTTTTATTTTGGCCTCTTCTGGTCTTTACTTGATTCGTTTATCATCAAGTAGGCTTAACATTTACCCTGCATAATATTATTACAATTGCATCAATAATTTATCTGAATTTTATTTACATTAACTGTTATTGTCAATCAATATCAACCTTTATTTACAAATCTTCAACTTTGAATATTGTTACACATCACAGTTTACTATTGATCCAATTCATTTTGGAAATGTTTAAACAAATAAACGTCTATTGATTTAAAATTAATGATATTTTTAGATTTTTATGTAAATTTTTTGTCTCATTAAAACACTTGAAAATAATCTAGCAAACAAAATAGACTCGAATCTATTTTCACCGCAATAATTAATTTACTTGCTCCATCTATCGTTTCAATGTCATTAACATTGTGTAAACAAAGAGGTTAATAGACCGACATTTTAAGTACATCAAGTAATTGATCTTTATTTAAAATTAACCTTTTATTAGTTAGTCTATCATGACATTGATTTTTTTATTGCTTCGATTTGCTGTTAATGGTAAAACTAGGTGACAAGTTGATCCACATCCATGTAATTTGAAAAGTCTTGGAACCGACAAAAGGTAAAAGTGTATATTTAGTTACTTGAAATATTTCTTCAGTTTGTTTATTGATCAACTTGATGAATATATTAGTTTTGGTTTATTTTCCTTACAGGTAACAAGACTACTAACGACTCATGAGTATTTAGAAGTAAATTTGCGGTTAAACTTGGATTCGAGTTGGTTTGGTAAAAGTGTTTCTCAAAGTGGGATGAAAGTCACTGAATAGCACTCGACACCAAATTAGGAATAGATAGCTTCAAAAGTTGATTGACGACTGGTTTAGGCTAAATGTATGGAACTACCTTTTTGATTTGTCTAACCAACTCTCAGGTGAATCTTGAAGGTAAAATAAGGTTGCTAAGGTTGTAACATATAATTAGTAAATGTCAACTTTTCAAAGCAAAATTGTTGACTTTAATTTAGATGATATTTATAATACATATGATTAAGTAAATTATCTTGTAATTTACTATCATTTTCCATTCTTTTTTAGGATTTTTCATTCTTCTAGATTTTAATCTCGTAGTTCGCTGATTTCGTTGGCATCTTTCTGCAACATTTAATGTTGAGATATAATTAGCGTTGTCTCTTTTTGTTGGAAACTTTCTCAAGCCTAACCACCTCCTGTACAACCGTTGGTCAATTGTATTCACTAAAGAGGCTCTCTTCAACTAGACCTAAGAGATTTTTGGATTATAAATCAAAGGCTTGGATCACCAGACATCCTTTAAAGCAAAAAATACCGTTCAAAGGCAGAAACAGATTTATCGAGTTCTTGTAACAACTTTAATCTTCAAGCCCGACATGACAGCTTAATCTTAATCTTTGAATCAATGGACACACAATGGATTGATAGAGATTAGAGAAATCAATAGACTTTTTGGTAAAGAAATTCTCAGCTAATTATGGTTGATAGTATCACTTAAAGGATCAAATGGGAAATGTAATCCATTATTATAAAAGAGTTGGAGGAGCAGATTGATTATTACAAAACTTGATGGTTGTCAACAGTAAATATACAGTCATACCTGAAAGATAATGGCATTAAATATCTGAATACCTGGACATTGAAAAGTTGACCAGTTCACAAGGAAAGGAGTGAGAATAAATAAAGCCAATCATCTTGAAGTTGTATTTTATTCAAAAGGGAACAAATCACTTATTTATTGCCTGATATACCTTTTACTGAACAATAAAAAGGTTCAATCCAAGACCAGCTTCAATTGGCATTACAGTTTTACTTTCAATTTAATTGTAAATGTCTTTACTTCTAATTTAATATTAATCTTGGTGATTCATGATGATGATGCACAAGGAGAAGGATAAAGGACAAAGATTGGCGAAAGACGAGAAAATGATGATGATGAAGAAGAAGAAGAAGAAAAGTAAAAATACAAACCAATTGCTTTTTTCTGGCCAATAAAATGTCCAAATATCAAAAACTAATCGATTGTAAAGGAAAAAGGAAAAAGACTGAAGAAGAAGCCAAAAGATGTATTATATCTTGTCTGTTGTCCAAGTTTTTTTTATGACCATCATATCATCTTTATCCTTAGTCATTCAATTTCTCCTCCTACTGCTCATCAACATTATCATCTTGATCATCATCATCATTATTTCCCTGAATTCCAACGGAAATTTAAGCTTTTCCACATTTTATGCGTTTCCAGCCAAAAACAAAACCAAGCCAAAAGGAGAAAGAAGGAAACTCGAAAAGTAAAACAAAACCAAACCATTTTTTTTACAACTTTGTTACCATTTAACTATTTTTATTATCATCATTATCCAACTAATTATCTGATTAGTTTTATTTTTTTATTCTCATTTACCTTTTAGCTTTAATTCAATATCCAATTTAAATGAATAATCTGTTGCCCAGCCAATTCCACCATCAATCCAATCAATTTCACTTGAAGTATAAATGGATTTCTCGTGTATTTCCCTTGCAAACGAATCTGCGGTCAAATGAATTTCAAATTGCTGCCTTTTATCTGACAATTAAATGTTTATTGTTTCAAATTGATTATTGATTCAATTGAATGTTACATAAAAAGATATTGATTTAAATGTCAAAAACGTTTCTCTCAATTATGCCATTCATTGTTTCCAATATCAGTCAATTACTTAAACCAATTGTTTGTCCATCATCATTTCCAAATGATTAATATTGAAATGTTTGACCATTTACTGTCTCCATTGTGCCAATCCAATTGATATCCATAAATGTGGGTGGTAAAATCAATCAAAATGTAAAAGGTAATCAATCTTCACATGATTAGAGAGATGATGAACAATGAATGGATAGTAATAAGCATCAGTGAACATTTCAATGAAACGAATTTCAACTTTCCTTTTTTTCACCTTCTCTATTTGTGTCTGTCTGAGTGAGTTTACTTGTTTTCATTTCACACACAAATCATCAGAATCACCAAAAGAAGAAGAAGAAGAAGAAGAGAAAAAATCAATTTGATCAATCTGACTGAACTAAGTGTATAATATCTAGACAATATAATAATAGTAGATCAACAGTAGGAAATGAAACAAAACAACAACAACCAACATCAACAGAAAAATAAGGTTAAACATTGAAAATCACTTTCAGTTGAAATGAAAAGTCCTGTTTCTTTCCCATCATCATCAAGGTTCATCATTTTAACTTCAATACAGAAAAGTTGCTTTTAATCAGAAATGATTCATTGACTTGGAACTGAGTAAAAACTCTTGACAATTGTTCATCAAACAAACACACACAATTCACAGACAATTGAAGCTCAACTAAAAAGGGTTCAAAATTATAATATTGAATCAAATGATCAACGACAATTTACCATTTTGTAAATAAGCAAAAACAAAGCAAACATAAATTGAACGAAACAATTGAAATTGAAGACAAACTCAGGAAAAAGTAAAGTCAATGGAAAAAGTAAAATCGCTTGACAATGGATCATTTTGATTGATTATTTGATTAAATTTGATTCTCAGGCAAGTAATAATATATTAAATAACGATAAATGTTGAACAAGACAATTTGATTAAACACCATTTTGATTGATTTGCAGGTTTAATATGTAAAACCAGAGAGATTCAATGAACCTTTAACTTTCCCATTTCAATTGACAATTTGCATTTCATCTTTCAAATTGTCCTCCCAATCATCAACTTAATCACTCTAATGGTTGGGTTAATGATCAGTTTAATCACCTTTAATGGAGAGAAAGAAAAATCAATGAGAAATGATAATTGACTTGATTAATTGTCTATCTTTAGACAATGAAAGATCCTCTTTTTACCCATTTTTAACCCAAAAATCAGATCAACTTGTTTACCATCATTTTTCATAACCTCAACTGTAACTCGAAACCTTATATTGAATATTAAATAAAACGCATAAAAGGTGATAAAAGTTGATTCCAAGTCGATTCCAGAATCTGGTTAATATTGAAAATGGTTTTCTCTTTATTCATGAAACTCTCTTCATGCAACAGATTAAATGTCATTCTTACATTAATCACAGTAAACAGTTGAACAGATTCATCAATCATCAAAACAATTCAGTGACATTCAAATCTCAATGAAAATTGTTTCCTTCAATGATCACAGTTGAGGCTATTAAATGATTCTCAATTAATAACAATCAAAGGGAAAAAGTTGATCATTTAATCAATTATCAATATCATTTAACCATCAAATGTACCAGAATCTTAATAAATGGAGAAAACGTTTTCATGATTTCAAGATAATTTCAGGGAAAAAAGAAGAAGAAGAAGAACCAAAAATTCCATGTTTTTTAACAAGATTACTGTTTCCTCATTAATTTAATTTCATCTCAATCATCATCTTGATTAACACAACAAATTAAATGAATTAAAGTTAACCTTAACCATTGATTGATTGATGTAAAGTAAAAGTTAATTTCATTTTTCACATTTTTCATTATTGATTTAAACATTCATTTCATCTTTTCATCTTTCCTCCTTTAATTAAGATTAATTGTGATTAACTCGAAGTACACTTTCTAATCAAGAGCCATTAAGAGCAATTTAAAACATTGAAACATTAATTCATCTTAAACTGAGACCTCAAAAAAGATGGAAAAAAGTAAAATTCAAAATTGAAACTCATGTTGGAATCATTTGTTGTTTCATTGTTTGATCATTGAACATCAGGTAAAGCAATAAAAATGAGTTGGAACAAATTTTTTGTCTGAAAACTCTGAAAAGCCAATAATAGTCGAAAGATAATGATAATGTTTCGGTAAAGTCTATCCTAATGAAGCTATTTTGCTTCATCTTTTCATCTTTGCCTCATCATCATGATAATGATAATGATGAAGTTTATCCCTTTAATCATATCATTCATATGTTGAAATGGCTCCAATAAAAAGGTAATCATTTCTTTCAACATTTTACTCCAGGCTTGAATCTATCTTTTTATCAATTTAATTCCTGTTCATTACTGATCAATTTTGTCGTTCACTGGGTTTACAATCCTATTTAATGAGATTGGATGAAAAAAAAGATGAAACTTGAAAGCAAAATAATAATAATTTTAATCCATTAATCGGATAAAATTGGAAACCATTCAGGTTCACCATTTGTCACCAGCAATTTTTCAAGTAATTTTCAATGTTGACTCTTCAAATCATCGGTTAATCATCATTCAGAGATTTTCAGTTGAATTTGCCAGCTTTGGTGAAAGTTGAAATGAAATTATTAATATTATGATTGAATGCAACTTAACTGGTGACTTTGGAAATGACACATTTTACTGGTTTCTTTGATTAACAGGGAAACATTTTTCATTGTTAAGGTTTTTCGCATATAAATTGGTTGATATTTTAAGGAAATGCATGTTAATGTATTCATCCAGTGTTTCAATTTGTCCATGTTGATGCAAAATAAGCCAATAATGACAACTGAATGCTGAGTAAGCTTCACTCATCTTTCAGTTTAATATTCAAAGCAAATACAATATTTACTAGAATCAACTTTACTCCAGATTATCAACATTTAGTTAAGATGCCAACTTTAATCCATTTACCAGAAGAACCAGTTAACTGTTAAATTGGTCAGTTGCAAGTGTCGGTCATTTGTTATGACTGGTAAATGGAAGTGAAATCAATTTTCCTCGGATTCATTTGCAAAATGAATATTTAAATTGATTTCACTCTGAAACCTTTTCTGGTTAGTAATTTGTTGCCTTAAAGATTGATCGATGAAATTAATAAAACAATTTCAATTTTGCTGTTAAATCAGTTTAACAGATTTTAGTTAACCTTTGATTGGTATGAAATGCTAATGATAAAGCTTTATTAAGATGAGATTTTGTTTGAGATTTAATCCATTGCCATTGATTTTCAGCTTTCAGTTGATCAAAGGTTAATGTCCAGCTAAAGTTTAGATAAGATTTTCAAATGAAATGTTCATTAGGATGTAATCAACTCTATTCATGAGATTCTCAGTAACCTGATCCAGTCAAGTTGACAGTGTTTTCCTTTGATTAATATTTGAATGTGAATGTTTGATTGTTGGTTAAATGGTTTACCATTGGGTTAAATTATAAACATCATTAATAGACCAGATAAAAGTGTAACTTGTCCAGTCAATTTCAAGTTAAATTGAGAGATGAAAAGAGATGAATTAGAAGGTGAATAGAGAAGTAACGAAAACCCGTGAGAATAGAAAACGTGATTTCACCTGAATTGATAACGTTTCAATTCGCAGTCTATTATTATTCTGTGGAAGGTTGACTGAGTTCCGGTGAACATGGTGAAGGAGAAAAGAAAGGTTGATGAAGAGAAAGAAAGAAGATGGAAAAAGGCAGAAAAGTGGATTCAAGTAGGTAAAGGTGAAACATTTTAAATGGATTTTCTCAAAGGAAGAAGGCAAAATTGGGTGAAAATTGGTGTTTATTTGACTCATAATGAGTTGAAATAATGGTGAAAAGGCGAACAACTTTTCTCTTCATTCTTCATCTTCAATTGGGTCTCCTTTTTTTGTCTACAATCATTTCATTTAGAACAATTTCAATGGTCAAAAGAAAAAATCCTTTGGTCAATATTATTCACGTTTCTCTTCTTCTCCTTCACCACCATCATAATCATCTCTTTTTGGTGTTCCTCTTCTTCCAATTGTTCACATTAACTGTCTCAATCTCATTAATTTCAATTGTAATAATATTGAATGTTGACCATCTTTATTGGGTTTGTTAACCTTAACAGTGATTAGTGGCGTTACAATGATGATTTGGACGGAGGAAGATGAGAAGCAAAAGGAGAAGAAGAAGGAAAAAAACAACGAAAACTAATTTACTTTAGGGAAATAGATTGTCATTCAATGGGATCAAATTAATTTCAAATAATTGTTCAACTGATTTAATTTACCTCAACGTTTTTGTTTGTCACAACTCAAAGTAAAACCAATTGATAAATAGCAAATCGGAAAAGGTCAAATAAGACAAATGTAAGTTAATAAGCAGAGACAAAAAAAGGACCAAAAAGTAACTCATTTAAAGCAAATGCAAGAACAGAAATATTAATCAATTTTGCAAAATTAGAGACAATTTGATGAACAATCAACAGAATCGGTGATTTTTTTTATCCTTGTCACTCGTTTGTGCTAATCAATCGAGAACCAGAAGTCAGATCTTGAACCAAACGTTGACCAATGAAGATTCAAATATAACAAATATCCATGAAACTTGTCTACATTTAGCCATGAAATTTGATATTCATTTCGTTTTGCTCATTAGATTGAAAAAGCAAGTTCAGTAATTCATTTGTTTAATCAAAAGAAGTCGTTTAAGTTTGGTTGAAGCAAATGAAAAAAGTGAAATGACTTCAAGTAAAATAGTTGAAACTCGCTGAACTATGCTTGGAATGAACCAATGGAAAATCAATAATTTTCTTGGAGTTACATGTTTATCCTGAGACTGATTATTATATAAAATTTTACAGTTAAATAAGTCAACTAAACTGTCAAGATGAACATGAAATCCCTTACGGTTATACTTTTTTTTAATATCAATGTAAACACTTTGTTATTCTGATATAAGTTTACATTGGCAATTTAAGGTTAGCTTCAAGCCAAAACCGTTAAGGTTAACAAGATAAGCAAAATGGGTAAACAAGATGATGATGAGGATGAAAAGTGAAATGTTTAAGAAAACAGAAAGAGAATAATTTTCATGATAAATCCGATTATCATATGAATTAGAGGGAAGCCAAAGGTTTACCCGAATGTTGAAAGTTATGAATGTTGATTGAAAGCTCTTCTCATTGTTTTTACACCAATCAGAATGTAATTTAAAGGATGAAATGCAAAGATAAAATGTAAAAGTGATTTGCAAAAAGATGTTTCAAATTTGGGTGAAAAGAGAAGCGAAAAAAAACATTATTACATTAAATTGAGAATCAATAGTAATCTTGACTGAGAAATTCATTCATCATCAACTTGGGAATTTTTTTCATTATTTTTTCTTCTTCCATGTTTAATGCTGAATTGTGGTGTAAAAATGAAGAGAGAGAGAATTGGAATTTGAAAAGGTGAAAAATGTTTGATATTTAGATGTCAATGGTTTGCCTTTGTAAAGCGGTTTTGATTGTTGGTCAACAATTTAACCTCAACTAATTAAGGTAATAAATGGCTTGTTTAATCTATTGAAGTCTCCTTTACCATTTCATATGAAAAGATAATCTATTCTGATGGGTGAAAAACTTTTCTTATTAGGCTCATCTTTGTTGTAACCACAATTTGATTAATCATTTTAATTTACGCTTTTCAAGTTAATTGTTTCTCATGACTTTGATGATCACCCTTTTTGTAGCAATCTTTAACAAGCTTCTTAAAGAATGTATCATGATGATGATGATGATGATGATGATGATCTACCTTCATCATCTCTCATGAGATTCAATGACTTTTTATCCGCTTGTCACTTTTACTACGTTAATATATCATTGACTTTTGGGTGAGATTTAAATTAAATCTGCTGTGTTGGTGACATTCACTAACTTCAAGATTGATAACACTTAAATTGTCAAGTTAATTATTTGCATCTTTATTCCTGTCTTTTTTCAGATGATTTTTAGCTGAAAATTGTTTCTAATTTTATCATTTCACAGCTTCTCATTGTTTCCATAAAAGTCATTCAGCAATCATATTCAGCAAGTCGCTAATTGTAACCATTAAAGTGCAATTCATCTCAATGAAAATGAATATGAAAAAATATAATTTGACGGACGAAAGGCTTTACTGGTGTTTCATTTGATGCTAGAAGAGTCACTTTGTTAGGTTGACTTGGATGACTAGTAAGCCAGTTGAAGTAAAAGTGTTTCAACCAAGATTTGAACATTGAAAGCTTCAATTGAAAATGACAAGCAAATGAGTGAAGCTTAACAGAGATTGGTGTTAACTCATACTCAATGTCCTTTTAACGTGATTTTATTGATCCATTGATAGCGATTACAAAGAAATTTGAAATAAAAGGCGAGTTCGCTATTGATTTAACATCCATATAACACTGAACATTGAGAATAAAATCATCGAAAATCTATTCAAATCTGGCAAAAACTTCATCTGATAGGAATGTCTTGTTCGTGAGAAGATTTCCCTTGAATTCATTTGTCGACAGTTTCTTTTGAAACACTTGCAAATGACTTAATTGAGTGAAGTAAAAGTATTCAAGTGATTTACAAAATGTCATTCAATCAACGACAAAATGATACTGATCACAACTGTAGGTTGAATTGGCTGAATAATGTTCATCAAATTGTTTGTCTTTCATTGCAACCGCCATTGATACAGGCAATCAAGAAAATGAAGATTCAAGAGAAAGAAAAATATCGCTAATCTTTCAATCGAGTTGAACTTTTCTCCTTCTTTTTTGTAAAAACTGCAGCTCTTTTAGTGATGATGCTAGTGATGATTAAATGATGATGTTATGATGATGAGTGATGAAGATGACAAGGGTAAAGTTGTTGGATTGTAAAGCTCGGCTTTATCAACTTGCATAAAACAAAAGGTAAAGTTGAACCTGAGGGAAGACCAAGCGTAGGATGAAGTCCAAAAATGAGTTAAATTGAACATGAAAAGTGTTCATAATAATGATAAGGTTTGTCCCATTTCCAAATGAGTTTCACTTTGTAAGGTAACTTTTGTTATCTTCATTTACTTTGAAAGATGATGACTAGATTAGATTGTAACAATTAAGATAATAGGCAATTTATTATCAATTCAACTGTAAGCAACCCGCAAAAGATATTTTATGAATGCTAATTAATGTTCAAAATGTTCATTTCAATGAGCCTCTCTTTTGCTTGTCAGATAATGTTCACTGTAATGAACCTTGTTTTTTTATGACTTTTTTTGCTTCCCTTCAGTTTCCAGCTTTTTACCGAGCTTTTGGTTAAGGTGATAAAGTTTGATTGGGGAATCCAAAAGTTGACTCTTTATTTTATTCATCATAATCATGTTGAAATGATTAAACTCCATTGAAAGTTAATAGCTGCTAGTTGAGAGTTAATTAAAGGGTCCTTTTTTGTCAGGGTAAAATGTCCAACCGTGAAAAGGTTACGTGACTTGGATAAGGTTAACTGGTGTTGACCAGGAAACTGAGTTAATTGTTGTTAACCCTTGTGAACATGTGAAAAGGTTAGTCAATATGGATTCACAGTTTTTACGATTAACTTGATTACCTTTCCATTGGAAACATTGTTTAACTTGATTATTGTTTCTTTTTTGTTGATAATTGTTTTCAATTTTGCTCCATTGGAACCTTCTCTCACCCTTAGAGACACTAAATTGATACATTTTTTGGGGTTTTCATCAATTTTGAACCTTTCATGGTAAATATTTTTACATTCATTGATTTATGTATCAATTTTTCTGATGTTTGGTTTAGCTTTTTTTTCATTTCACTTTTATATGGATTTTTGGTTTTTGAGTTTCACTGTTTTAATGAAAGTAAAGACGAATAGAGTAAACAAATTATTAATCTTTGACAGATTAACGAGATTAAAGATCGTCTAATTGTGATGAATATCGCTTTTGTTTGTGTTTAGCTTTACTTTTTGCCTTGTAATTATCAATTTAATGATTAGCGGCAAAAATGGTTCCTTTCTCAATGCAATAGATGGCGATCCTGATGAATGATTGGGCTAAAATTGGCTTGCAATTATCAATATTTTAATAGGAAATTTCGGTAATCAGTCAACTTATTTCTTTGTGATTCTAGTGCTTTTGCCTTTTTTCGATTAAATCGATCGATTTTTAATGTAAACAAAACATAGAAACAAAACATATAAAAGTTATAAAATGTAACATTTTGGTAGAGAATCGTGAACGCATAATAAATTAACATTTTTGACGCTTTAATTTTGACTTTTTTTGAGCTATTATATCGCGTTTCTATCCTAGCTCTAAACTTAAAATCCTAATAAATCTTAATTTCAGTTGTTAATTTAACCCCAATCTAACAACTCACGGCAACCATACTCTTTTTCGATTTTCGATTTTCCATGTTGATCATCGATCACAAAGTTGGCAAGCGATAATCGATTAAATCGATGATCGAATCGATCGAGCACAACACTATTTTAATAGGAAATTTCGGTAATCAGTCAACTTATTTCTTTGTGATTCTAGTGCTTTTGCCTTTTTTTAGTTAATCAGTCTTTTTACTGTCTATCTTTCTGTCCGTCATCATCATGTAATCTTTGAAAGATAAAATTAAGCTCACTGAGAAGACATATTAATGGGCCAAGGAATGAGGTTAACCACGATGAGGTTCAAGCTTTTTTTTACTGTTGATTCTCATGTTTATTATTGCTGTTGTTGATCATTTGCTCAATGGGACAAGAGGTAATGAACTTAATGGATGCTGATGATGAAGATGAACATGATGATGACCAGGACTTCGGTGTTTGTGCCTAAACTAACTTCTCTCTCTCTATCTCTTTCTCATAAAAGATGAGCACACTCTGAAAACTGGTAAACAATCACGAAAAAGCGATTGAAGGCGAAGACATGAAAGAAAGAAGATGAAAACAAATCTCATCTTTTCTTTCCTTTCTTTGTAACGCTTCCAATTCAATCTTTATCATCTTCATCAACATCATCATCTTCTTTTTCTTCTCCATCGTCTTTATCTTCTAACCAAAGACAAATATGAGCATGAAGAATCTTCAATGATCTACTCTGACCTTAAAGGTAAATCCCTTATTCAATGACTATTAAACCGTATAAAAAGGTTATTGATAAATCCCTATCTCTATGTCTCTTCTCTTCATTTCAGGTTTTCTTTTGTAAAACATTTTCTTCGTCTTTTCAACGATCATTTTATCTTATTTCAATCTTAAGGTTGTATCTTCTTCATCATCATCATCTTTAGGATTTCAGTTGTTTCCAGTGAAATCTTTCTTGGACTTTCTTGGACCAGCTTTATATCCTTACAAAGAATAGAGCCTTTCCTTTCTAAGTGAATTTTCCTTATTCGCATCTTCTCTGATGTAAAAATATTTTTCGTTATCACTTATATTGATACTAAGTTATTGACTGTTATTAAAGACAATGATAGTATCTTAATGTCAACATGGTTTATTTGGTTGATTCAATATCTGAAATGGCATCTCTTTACAATGAAGAAAGAAACAAGAAGTGCTAATCCTTTTACTGGAAACCATTCTTTAGATTCTTCATTTGTTTTCCATTCCTTTGAACAGTTGAATGTTTCACTGATGATTCTGATCAACATTTGAATCCCTTCCACAATATCCAACTGTAACCCCAAAGTAAATCAGAAAGGTGGAAATATTTTCCCTCATTTAATGTTGTGTTTGAAAAATGTTTACTTGATTGACTCAAAGTGAATCTTGATTCAATCTTGCACTTACAACTACTTCTCATATTAATCCATCTTGTTCATAATCAATATCATGCCTTACATAATTATCATGATGTTCATCAGTCCTTCAACTGACAATTATTAATTGAAGGCGAAGAAAAAGAAACATAAAATTGTCATCTTTTGATTGACAACTTTTTCAAATTGATTATCTCTCGCTTTCAGCCTCCTCAGCAACAATAAAGATAGTAACTTGACCTCATCAATTGCAATCATGTTAAATTTATAAACTTACATCATGATCAATGTTTATTTGCTTATAACAATCAGTAAATGTAAAATGAAGCAAAAAAAGGCAGAAAATAAACGAGCAGAGGAAACGAAAATTTCATGATAAATATTTTAAACGCTTTTTTTACTCTTCATTATCATGATCCATTGGAACAAGAAAAATGACATTCTGTTTCTGGTTCAATTTGATCAGAAAATTTCAATTCATGATAACGCCTAAAGGTGTTTTTTAAAGCAGAAAGAGGAGAATGAGAGAGAAGAAAAAAAACTCAAAATAATCTCAGAGTTACCCAAATTTTCTGTGAATGTTTCACTGATATAAATTAAAGATGATGATGAAGATGAAGATGATCATGCTTATTGAATGGCACACCCGTGCTTCTGGTATTGCGTTATTATCCTTAATAATGTTTCAAAGCAAAGCAAAGTTATCAAATTAAATGAGAGACAATCTTATTTGATGATTTCAAGATGAGAGCAAGAATATGGTTAAGAATTAAAACGCCAATTGCGGGGTTTAGAGTGATGATACTGTTGCTGGCAAATGTTGCTTGACATGACCAGAGATGAGGAATAATAAGCATAATGATAACTCCAGCAAAAACCATCCCTTGCTAAGCTTAAGCTTTTTAAAGGTCAACCTGATGGGGCGCATTAAACACCGTGAGAGGTGAGAGATTATGAGAAGAAGAAGATGATCAAAAGGATGAAAAGATGGCAAAGACCAAAAAGCAAAGCCTAAACAAGGTAATATGAAAAAAAACCAAAAAAACATCATAATACAAGCTTACAATTGAAAGAGTCATATTTACACTATTAACTTACCCTTAAGCTAAGCTTTACAAATGTTTCTTATCCAAGACTTAAGTCTTCTCCTTTTTTCAACTATAATCAGTGTGATTATTATAAATACATATATTACAGTTTATCAGGTTATGCATTCTTGATCCGCCAATTCTGTCCTCTCAATATTCATTTCAGTATAAATGTTTGTTGCCAGTTGAAAAGTTGTATTTGTTGAGTACAAGGTTGGGTTAACTCTTGTCACACTGCATCAATGTGTCAACTTATTGTGTCACATTGGTGTTGAAAATGGTTCCTAAAAAACTCCTTCTGTTGATGTAAAACTGTTCATCACTTTTCTCATCCTTTGACTCATCGTCCTAGTCATCATCTTATTCATCAGCTTTTTTATTTTTGGACTCCTCTTCTTGTGCCTGTAAGCGTTTGTTGTTGATAGTCTTGATCAGCTTTCCTCTTCTTCTTGTGTGTTTATGTGCCTTTAGCATATTCAGTGGTTAACAATTTGAGGTTTGTGTTTTAGTTTGCTCCATTCCTGTAAAAATAGACAAAAAAAGTAGAAACTGTAAATCTCAGGAAGTTGTTAAATCTCCATTTGAACCATTAAATTGTTAATTGAAAGATCAGTGCAATTGCATGTTGATTGGATCATTTAGAGATGCGATTTGGGCATCAGTCAAGAATCGTACTTGAAACAAGATGAAAGTTTTGTTTCAAGTTATTAACATTTTCAACTATTTTTTAACAGATATTTTACAACCTCTCAACCTTCCTCATTAAGCTTGAGGCAATACTTGAGATTTGGCAAAATATTAGATCAAACTACTATAACAACAACAATAACATGATTAACATTCAGTTTAAGAGCATTAAAAATGTAAAATTTTTTCTACTTCGAATTAAGGTTAAAAAGATATTTTTTCCCTGTAAAAATGATATCAAATTTCCTGGCTGATATTGAATAGTTATTAACTTTATCATTTAAACAATTAATTTCCAAGACTACTTATAACTATCCCTTAAAAATGAAATACTTTACGTGATTAACTTTCAAAGGACACAATAATAAATATTAAATTAAATCGATTATCATGTAAAAAATGCAAATTTTCACCTTATAACTGCAAGTTAAATGCAAGGAGAAATTTGGAAACTGGAATGTAAACTTGAAATTTGTTCACAATCGACATTCAATTAACCAATCGAGGTATCAAGATATGAATGAGGTTCAGAATTATAATTGATGATCAAGTTAACTGTTATATTTCACAAGTTGACACATGTAAAAATTGTAGCATCATCTTTGCTTGCAAAAAGCTATCCAAGGCTTGATATCACCAAATTTGAAGCATCATCTTCATCATTGGTAACTAATCATAAGGATCTTTGTCGTTCCGCGAGAATGAGCTTTTGAATAGATTGCCGCATCCTTTTTGGTTCCTTTGCTTGGAAACACACAAGAAATGTCTACTTGCAGAATTAAAGTTACATCTGAAAAAGAAGAAGAAAAGAGAAGATGAGAGGAAAAGTGTGAAAGAGAAAACTAGAGAAAGAGAAATGAAGAAGATGAAGTAACATGATGTTAAATATCTCTCAATGGTTCAGGTTATATCCGCGTTTTTCAGGTCAAATAGTTTAGATTCTTTTTACACCTAATACTTAAAAAATAGATGAAAAGACGAAAAAAGAGAGATGGAAAGATAGAAGATAATCTAAAGTAACTTTCATCTTCTTTTTTCTCTCTCTCTTCCTAATGATTAACATTCTGTAAGCAAAACCATGGTCTAACTATTTAATACAAAATGTTGACTTGAACGAAACGTAACGTTTATCATCAGTTTGCTGCTATTTGGTGTCCCATTCATTTAGGATGAACCTTGTTGGTTAAAGTTTAAATGCTTTTCATCATCGCCTTTGAATTATTGCTTCATTGTTACACTTGATCATCATCACCACAATCATCATCCTTTTGAAGACACCAGAATCATCTCCTTTTGTGTGTATCATCTTTATTTTTTTACATCATCGTCATGGAAACTTGAAGCTTAAGTGAAGCTTTAGCAAAGTGCACTTAATCATAATCAGTCTTTGTCATCAACTAGCCAACTATTTTAATCATCGTCAAGCACAAAAAGATTAATGTGAATATGAGTTGGTGTGAGAAGATGCCTGAGAAGATGGAAAAGAAGAAAAAGAGATGAAATTAATGGAAAATAATTAGAAAGATAAAATTAACTTCTCCCAGGGAAAGGATTGTATTAAGATGCGAAAATTGGTTAAAAATAGCATTTTTACAGGTAATCATGGTAATCAATTGATTTTACTCTCATGCCAGATGAAGTCCTATTCAGCTTGTTTGCATCTTAATCAATCCCTGGAAAAAAAGAGTTGTCAAATTAAACAGATAATTGTTGTCATTATTTACTTGCCTTGGGATGGTTAACTTTGTTCAATGTTACTTTTGTTGTTGATTGTTACTTTGTACCAATAGTAAATGATGTAATGATTAAACAATTAAACAAATCTGCTTTTCTTTTTTTAATTATCTCACAGTGAGAAAGGCCAAAAAACGAGCGTAAATAAGCAAATTAATTTATATTGTCCATTGACTATCAGCTGCTCATCCCTAGTCAAGTGTTGCCTTACACCCAAAACCTGAAAGTACAAGAAAAAAAATGATACAAAATGATAATATAAATGTTAATTGTTGATGTTTGTTTACGTGGGATTTGATTTGCTTTTTGTATTTATTCATTAATAATCGTGATGATAAATAAATAAATAAATGTTGAAAAAAACTAGTTATTTTGGGTTTGCAGTTAACATACCTTGGACCATAAAAGTATATCAATCATTATTGTTGCAATGTAAATGATTGAGAGTTACATTAAAAAACATGAAACCAACCAAAGGAAGGAAAGGTTAGTCTTTTTGTGTTGATGATAATGATGATGATGGTGGGGATAGAGATGATCATGTCTTTGCATTTTCACCCCAAATGAATGAAGATAACATTTTGTCTTTTCCAAATGAGAACAGGAAAATTAACCAGAGGCTCTTTCACTCATTTTCAGCATCATCATCATCTTGAGAAACATTTCAACACAGGAAAGAGATTCATTGAAAGATCAATTTTACCTCAATTAGAAAACTATTTCTAGATTTGTCAGTGTAGATGAAGAGGAACAGCAAAATGATAATAATGAGCAACCCAACAAAAAACTGATCATCAAATTTTTCAGCTTTTTTAGCCCAAAAAATATTCATTAATTTGGTTTAATGATGATTTTCAATTATGCTAGGCTTTTTTATTTCGGGCTCATTATAAACATTAACATACAAAGTAAATTATTTGGACATTCAGATAAATATCTTGAAAGTTGAATATCTCATAATCTAAATTGTTTTACTCTCTTCAATCTTCATTAACTCCATCAACATGTCTTAATCAACATTTAAAAATTACATTTATTGTTATGGCGAGATACTTGCATGCACAATAATTAGTAGTCTTCACGGGACAAAAGGGTTTCTATTAAAAATTATTGTCTTCTGTTTGTACTTGTTAAGAGTTAATTACGTTTTTGTTTACCATTTTCATTACAATGTTTTATTTCATCACCATCATCACCATAACCATCTTCAAAACCATCAACATAATCATCATCTCCATGGTTATTAATGTTAATTATGGTTATGAGAAATGGTTAATTATTCAATGTCAATGTTAACCCTCAACAAAAAAATACAAGCATAGTTGAGCTTGGAAAAAGGCACTTCAAACCGTCAACCATTTTTGCTTTTTTACACTATTAGTGATTTGTTATTGATTAAACAGTACATCAAAGTGTATATAAAAAGATACCATTAACAGCAAACCCAGAGTAACATTATTCAATAAATTGAACTCTCATCAAATTACTAATGATCATGGTTAGTAACCATTAATTTTTTAATTTTGTACTAAATGTAAAAAGATGATAATCATAACTTAATTTAAAGTAACAGAGCAAGTAAAAAAAATGTTAACTTTTTCTCTACTTACATGTCTTTTTTCATTCTGATGAACCAGCCGATTGATTGAATGATTGATTGATTAATCAGTTGATTGATTATTAAATTTGGGAGTAAACCCATTTTCTGTCCAATACTTTCCCTTTTACAACATATCTGTTGATCATGATTAAAATCTTAATTGAACACAACTAATTAAAGTTAATATTTTGTAACCAACATTTTTACTTGAACTTGAAAAAAAGCCAAATGTCCACTTGTTGTCATTGTTGCCCTTAACTACAGATAAAGATAGGGATTAGATATTACATATTAGATACTAATTGATCTTAGGCATAAATAGATACTTTCTGGTGAATCTTAAAAACGGTTAAGTTATTTAATTAAATGTGACTCTTATAATCCTTCCAACTTTGTTTATCTGTTTATTTTTGCAACTTTAGTGCTTTTCATTATTGAATAGAAAATTAAATTCACTGTTTCATTGCTTGTCCTCTCTTTGGTTCTATCAGCTTCATCATCATCTTGGTGAATGTCAATCAGATCAACCCTGTCCATCAACAAATCTCAAGTCAAGAAGAAAAAAAAATCTGTAATCTGAAAATCGCCTACAGTCATTTGGAAGCTTCTGATTTCAAAAATAGATTGATAACTTTTCTTTTTATACTAATAATGCATATAAATGTGTATTCAATAAAAGCAGCAAATAATCACAACTTTAAATCTTTTGATGCCTGTTAAGTAATCAAGTTACATTTTATTAAAAAGACAGATAATACAGGTTACAATGTATTCATCTTGATCCTCATCAGACCTCAACCTCATCAACAGCACAAAATTTAATCATCTTTTATCAATCAAAAAATTGTTCATTTAAATATATAAATATTACAGTGTATGTTAAAAAAATGTGATCTTACTCATTGTTTTGCCTTACCTTATAAATGTGTATAATTAAATGTAAAAGGTTAATTGAATGCTGATAATAATAATCAAAGAGAGATGAAGAGAAAAAATTATAAATGAAATTGTCATTCCTTTTCATTTCAATTTAACATTTAATGTGATTAAAATTGATTAGACTGTTAGGCTTGCTATTAAGGTAAAAAAGTTAATCATAATTGATGGTATTGTATGTAACATTTTGATTCATTATCATTATGCTTTTTGTTAAAAATTATCTTTGATTGATTTGATGCATTTTATGCTTTGTTAGACACTTTTAACTTTATAAAGCACCCCTTTACCATTTTGAAATGATTTTTGTTTGATTGTGAAAGCGGCAATTTTGATTGATCTTTCTTGTGGTTCCTTGAATTTGCTTTGTTTTCATTTTATCCTTAATTGTTTTCCAATTGTGTCGATTACTTATTAATTATTTATTAATGGTTAAGTGATTTAACTTTGTTTTTAATTTTCTTGATCACCTTCAACTTGTCATTAAAATTATCTCTACCCAAAGATATCTATCTATCTAAATATCTATCTATTCTTGTCGATCTCCTTTTCCCTCGTCTTTTGTTAACCGTTTAATCAGTCATCGTGGCCATCTTTAAATTTTTTGTAACCCTAATTTTACTTGATTTAACAATGTACCTTTTTTTCATTTCAACATTTTCACCTATTTTTAGAGCCAACCTTTAACCTCAAATATAAACACCTAATGTACATCATGTGTGTTGTTGTTGAACCATTGGATTGATCATTCCCTTTTCGACTCAAATAACAGCGAATTAAACTGGGAAAAAAGCTTTAGGGTAATCAATGTTTTGTAATTTGATCAGGTAAGCTAAAGTAAATCTTTCTCTTGTGTTCAATTGATTGTTTTTGTCCATTGAACAGGTAAGAGAAAAGCTGAGCGAACAAAACTAGAAGTGAAAAAAATCTTGTTCACGATAAAAGCTTAATTTGTTTTCTCTCTTTTCATCCATGAATATGTATTGGTGTTTCAATTTCTCTCTCTTTCTGAGTCTACCTTTCTTTTATCAATTTATATTTTCCAGCTAGAAGCTCATGTTTCAGGACGATAATGCTGATGAAACAGACAAGTATAGAACCCAACCTTTACCATCAAACATGTTGCTTAGTATGCAAGTCACTACATTAGCCTCTCTGGTATGAAGATGATTAAACCAACCTGTCTTTTTATTTTCTCTCTGCGACCCTGGAGCAAAGGTCTCGAAGGTCAATTTTCCTCTAAAGCTTTGATACTAGTTCAGGCATTCTCATTCGAACTAACAAGCTTATATTTTTTTTAGATAAGGACTGATAAAGCTGGTAAAAAAAGAGTTTTCCAATTTGCGCTTGAAGGAAATTACCTTTTTCACTTGGATGTCATAAGTACAGTTCTTTCTCTCTTTATCAACCAGAGTGTATAAATTTAGTTTGCTTGGTAAGTAGATAAATAGTAACACAAAGTTGACACTTTTTGTGTTGAATTTGCAAAATCTTTGCAACAAATCTGAAAACAAATGAATTCACTCATTTTGTTTTATCATTAACAATCTATTTACACACTTGTCAAAATCCTCTATTTGAGTACTATATTTATCTTGGTTTTTTTTCTTAATGCGTTTTTTTCCCAGCACTGTATCTTCCATCCAGGAAAATTATGAAGTCACAATCAGAGGAGAAACAGAATAGATAAACAGCGAAAGAGTTTAGTATGTCTCCTCTCATTTTATTGTGGTCATTTTGTCCTCTTCCTTGGTTCTGCTGTGTAATGTTATTCGGTCAATGCATTACTTGCTTAACAATAAATCACTGGTCAAAAAAAGAGGTGAGGCTTAAATTTTCTTTGAAAAATAACTATCTATTTGTGTTGACACTGTAAACTGTGTCGAATCTTGTAGGTTAAAATGACATTGGTAATGCTCATATATAATCTACAAAGGAAATTTTTGTCACGATAAATGTTTTAACAGTAAGTTGGACAAATGAAACAGCGTAATAACACAATGTTCAAGCATCCATCGCAACAATAACACTAACTTATTCAATGTACTAAGTTAAACAAACCAGCAAACAGTTTCTTTGATTTGATTGAAAACTAACCGGAACATTACCTTATTGATTACAGATTAAATTTATCAACCTTTATTTACAATATGGAGAAAGAGAAAAGTGAAATACCTTCGGAAATATCATTATCATCGTTATTACCATCCTTACCTTAATTTCAATCATTATGCTCCTTTAAAATTGGCATATTTGATTGGAGTAGGAAAAGTCAAGAAAGTCATGGAAACATAATACAAAATAAACAAGCAAGGGAAAGGCAGGAAAAACTTTTAATCATGTTGGAGGTGAACAAAGTTACTAACTAGGACTACCCGGTAAAGGTTAAAGGTTATTGGTTGGCAGAAGGAAACAAAAACGTCTAAAATAAAAGGGATCGTTAATTGGAGTTAAATGAGATTGAAGTTGAATCTTAAGCAAAGTAAATGTTAATGTTGCACCGAATCGGTATGCCATTCAAAAAGTTTGTTACAAATGGACATTGGAAAATATTCTTGTGAAAACAAAGCACAACAACAGCAGTTGATAGTTTAATGTTCAACTTCTGACGCACACACACGCACTTAAACACACAAAAGGCGCATCTCATTAACCCTATCGTCGTTTTCATCAGCATAATCATCCATTTAAGCTCTTGGGCGGTCATGTTATTATTTTGGACTCGTTTGAAGCCCATCGTTCCGTTTAAATGCATTTAACCAAGTCTTGCGTTTTCTCCTGCTTAACCTGTTTAAACAAATCATTGTTTTAGACAAAAACTAACCACAAACCATTCGCCAATCACAAGGAAAAAAACAGTCAATGCAAAGGAAAAAAAAGGATAAGCCAACATTTAAAAGATCCTGTAATTCTTATTCTCAGCGTTTTTTCTTCATCTTTTCTTTGCTCTTTTCGTTTCCTACTCTTTTCCTCCTTTTCGCATCAATAGATTCGTGAGATGATGATGAAGCAAAACGGAATAAAAGCATTACAATAAAGAAGCAGAAAGCAAGCTCTAACATATGGTCGACCTGAGGTCCATTTTGAATTTTTTGGCGAAAAATGATTTACAAAGTTTATGCGGTACTAAATTCATTGGCTTAAACAACAGGAAGATATGGTAAGGAGGCGGAAGAAGAAGAAGAGAAAGAAAAGGACAAGAAAAAAAGAAAGAGAAAATTGTAAGCAAGGTTACATTAGGGGCTTGCATTATCACTTGCATCTATACTTATTTGTATCTATTGCCTTAACCTTTAACCTCTGTTTTATTATTTATTTAAGATCCAAAAGACAGTGAAAAGGCCATTTTACCATTGTATTATCGTTGTTTAGAATGGCCTATCAAAAGGAAAAAGAAAAGAAGGAAACAAGATGGACTACGCGAATACAACCCAACAGGGCGATGGGCAAGTGAATGATGATGAGTTTATCATGATGATAATAATGGTGATGGTCATTTTGGAAGGTAAAAATTTACTTCTTTTAAATAATGGTAGTAAACAGATTACCATCGGTATGAAGAAGAAAGATCTCCTTTTTTATCATCATCATCAACATAATCATTTAAATGAAGAGTTTATATGTTTCTCGAGTGAAAAAGCATATGGATGATTGAATGGGCGATGATAATGAATAAAGATAAAAGCTCCATGACTACAATTTAGATGTTTAAAAGTCAGGTCAATTTAAGACCTTTCCTTCACCATCCTCAGCCTTTTTTTTAAGTTACTCCCTAGACATTTTACACTTACTAGGGTTACTTGGGCGCATGTAAAATGTAGGTAAAAGTTAATTGTAAGTCTATTCTCTTATAATGATGATAATGATGATGATAATGTTGATGATAGTGATAGTGAAATGAAAAAATAATCACAATAATAGTAGCTCTAGTAATAATGATAATATTGTTTCTTTTTGTTTGTAGATTGAAACGGAAACACTCGGAAACGAGTCTTCTCAGCCGAAAGATTTGCGAGTAAAATAGTGAACCCAGGCGAAGTCAATGGTTCTTATTTTTCATTTATATCGAATGTATATTTACAGTTGACCATCAATCTTCCATTATCTTTCAACTTCACTTCTTCAATGACTTGTCGTCTTTTTTATACTTTCCTTTCTCCATTTTTACAGATATATCAAACTTTCTCTCTGATTCCAACTTCTGCTCGCTTTTTTTGCTCTACACCCAAAACAATGTTAATCTCAACTGTGACACCAGCCAAAAAGCCAGCAAAAAAGAGGAAGAAAATCCTAAAGGCGAAGGCAAAAAAAAATGTAAAGATTTGGTGACTCTCGATGTTTTTCCTGATTTTTAACGGTTTATGCATCTTTTTTGCTCCAACTTCCTCTGGATCTGTCTCTGGATTTATCATTATCCAATCGTAAAATGGTAAAAGCAAGTTTATAAAAAAAAGATGAGGCCAATAACACGGCAAAAAGGCATTAGTTTGACGAGTATCTCGATCACTTTTTTTTCTTGAACCTCATTTTCATGTTTCTCTTTTTTTACTTGCTTCTATTCCATCTTGCCCTCTAGTTTGACTGAATTTTATCTGATCGTTTTAAGGTAAAAGGTTTGATAAATATCTAAGTGTAGGTTTGATCCATCACAGATTTGATGGCAAATGACATGAACAGTATTTAGAAATACCTTTTTTTATCGCTAATTCCGTAGATTTTTTGCATCTTCCGTCAGTTTTGTATGCAAAAAATAGAAGAGGAAAGCAATTAAATGTTTTCAATATTAATTTAGCACAGCATTTATCACTTATAATTTACTCTTGAATCTTTATTGTTTGCAAAATGTTTACAATATTCATATTCATAATTGTATTCAGTGAAACAAAGTATGAAATCAGGAAATAAGATGAACCAGAAGCAGGAAAAAAAAGATATGAACAAAGGGAAATTAATAAAAAACCGTTGATGAGGATTGAATGAAAAGGCAATTGAAGTAAACAATCAACAATCAGGTAAACTCACAATACAATTTGCTCTCTTTTTTCATTAACATCAATCAGGTTGGCAAAAAGGTCAATTGTTTTACATTATCATTATTTTCAATATTACAATTGTGATTGACATGAAATTGTGTTCACCAATCATGATTACATTGAGCTTTTAATCTTGAACAAACAAGACTATCCCGGTTTAATAAGGGTTAAAGATGAGAACCTTGTTAACATTAATTGATGAAAATGTACAGTTTAACTGTAATAGTTAACCATTGACAAAAAGAGTGGCAAAAAAGTGTTGTTTAGTATTGCTTGATGAGACTAAATTTAATGATTAATTCATCCATTAAATGATTTAGATAATGTTTTATACAAACAAGCCTAAAAGAGCGTAATCTAATACATCTTTTAACATTGCCTGTTGATCTTGATGAAGCAGCAAGAAAACAAACTCAACTCTAACAGACTGTGTGTACATTAATTGTGATTGTTTAATTTGATTGACAGTAAAATCAAGCCTCTAATAAGGGGTTTAATCAGATGTCAGATTAAAGTAAACAAGGTTTCAATTGCTGTCATAATATTGAAGAGTATGCGAACTGAGAAAATGTCATTTGTTCAAATAAAAAAAAGCCGAGTTAACTGAGTATCTAGTAAATATGATATCTTGTACAATGTTGACTAAAGTTGATGAAGACGAAGATGAAATACTGAAGACCCTTTACTGAATTTATTTACTTTGAAATTCACGTTCGATTAGAGAAGATAACTTTAAATGTAAGGTAAAATCTGCCATTTAAACTATTAATGTTCAATATAAGGTTTCATGTCAATTTATATTATCATTATTTCTGCTGAATTAAATGCTTACCATAATAACTAGGAAAAGGAATGAAAAAAAAGAAGCAAGAAATGATTCAAATTTGATCCCAATCGATTAAAAAACTGTGATCACTAACACAGTTTAACTAATCTGCACTTTTCTCCTCTTGTTTTACCCTGTCTTTTAAATCTAATTTAATTATAATACGATTTTCAATTGAATTTACCTTAACTTTTTCTTCTTCTCTTCACCTTCTTTTCTCTAGTTAACAACAGAATCAATAATAATGTGATAATCGTAAGTTGATAAGCTTCACTCAAGGTTTCACTTTAAGTTCTTACCTTTTTTTCTTCTTTTTTTCAGACTTCCAGGTAAAGCTATAGGAAGGAAAGCCATGATTTGAAACTAAATCTTTAATAATGATTTGCCAGTTATTTGGGAAAAGTGATTTTCTCTCTCTTACCTGTTTATCCTTGCCAATAAACTGTACCGGTTAAATGACTAAATGATAACTTGCACAAACTTGCTTTTGTGTTGAGCTTTCAAAAAGTGTAAACCTGGTCAATGAAGTCAACTAACGATGCAACTTTGTTTCTGCCATGTAAAGAAGGAGAAGAAAGTATTTTAATCTTGATCATCAATATAATCATCATCACCATCCAGTTGATCATCATTTTCTCATCAACATCATTCATCCTAATCATCATCCTTTCTCTTTTCCCCCTGCAAGCTTCACTTTACCTTGGTAAAACTATTAATACCAAGTAATACCTATTGATGGTCTTTAAAATGTAATAACTTTAAATAATCATAATCATAATGATAATAAGAATATCGCTTTTTGGCCTTTCTCTCAGCTGAAGAAGAAAAAGGTTTAAAAATTGAGATAAAGGTGAAGATGAAACTTGCAAGAGGGAAAAGAAGAGGATTTGAAATAAATAAGATGTTTACTGAATAACATCCTAATTTATTATCTCATGATTTACAGGGTTAATCAAAGGTTTGTTGCTTGACTCGACCAAATTGTTAGCTTAAATTTTGCCCAATTTCAATTGAAAAAAAGGGCAAAATTTAATCTCAATTGATTTTGCTTCTCTTCAGCATAATTCAGTATAATTCATGTAAGAACCATATTTATTATACTTATATTCATGAAGAGAGAGATGAAAAAAGTAAATGCTTTTTACTTTTCTACTCATAAATTGTTAAAGAGTTACCATTATATTCAACAGTTAAATGATAAACGCAGTTATTTACAATCAAATTGCGTGTATTTGTTCAATAATTTTCCATGATAATAATAGTAATAATTTTGCTAATGTTAATAATTAAGGTAACCAATCAGAAGGGTTAACAAATACTAGCATTATCATGATAATACCAATTGACAAATAAAAAACCAGTTTAACACGAAACGTTCAACATTTTAATCAGCCTTCAGTTGAAGTATCTTCTTCAGGGAAACAAACAAAAAACTGGTTAACTTGTATTCATTTGCCTTTAATCACACAACTAATAGTGTTAAACCATTAATATTGTTTTAAAATTATTATTTAATATCTAATTGTTTGCTATTGGAAAGAAATGGGTTAATTTAAATTACAATGAACAATTAACATTCTTCTCAATTGTTCATTGTTTCTCTCTCTTTTGATAGCTTTTCCAGCTTTATTGGTCAAGTTTAATATTTTAATTTATTTATCATTTAATTAGTTTACCATTTTTAAATTAGTAATGTTAATGATGATGATTGTAATTATTATGATAATCGTAATTATGATAAGAAAATGATTAACTTTTTGTTTTACTTCTTCTCACGGTTTCTCAATGTTCAACTGTAATTCATTGACAGTTTCAATGAGAAATTTGAAAAAATGTAAATTTACTTCAATTCACAAGCAAATATGTAATGAAATTACAAAAACCTCACACAAAGGTTACAGTTGAACATGATTATCATGTTAAACCAATGATTCAATAATTATCTAGACTTTCCATAATTAAATTGTTTCCTCTTTTTTCTTACAGCAATTGAAGATTACCATTGAAATAACCATTGAAATATCCATTGGAAACCGATTGCCTGGAAGGATCAAAATGAATGCCAGCGGACCATCAACGCCTTAGTGTGACACTTACTGGTTTACTCAAATTATTTGAACATCATCATCATTAACAATAACAACGTTATTAATATCTCTTGCTACTGAACATAATAATCAATTTTGACTGTCTTACATTGATTAAGAGAAGGTAAATTGATGAGGGTAAATATAATGATCAACATTTAATGCAAACATTTTCTTCTTTTCTACCTTACAGTGCCTTTCATATATAATTATTACCTGATTATTACTATTATTACAACTTGGTTGGCTTCTGTATGTGTGTGTGCCTTTCAACCTCCAATGTAGCAGCATCATGTCAACAGTATCATGAAGTCGATGATCAACGTTATTATCAAAGCTGATGAAGATAAACTTTCTTTCGCCATCAGAGTAAATAATTTACAGAATGGATTGAGATAAATTTGATGTTTACCTGGGCGGTCGTTTTCCACTCTTCTCTACCTCTCTGATTGGCGATGATTCAAAGTGAGTTTTCATTAACATTGCCTTTTGTTATTATTAAATGTAAATGTTACCTGTTTGGGTGGTATTAGCATCACTCTTATTGATATTTAATATTTTGCTTACATTAACCATTGTAAGTTAGTTGAATCTGTTTAATTATGTTAACCATTTTTTGTTTGTATGTAATAATCAATGTTACGTAGTTAAACTAAATTAAGACATATCATGTTATCGAACGGCCTTAAGGTTGACCTTAAGGTATCAATAAGCAGCAGAAAAAAAGAGATGAAGATGAGGATCATCACTTTTCTTCTTACCTTTCTAATTTTCTTTCTCTCTCTCTCTTTCCTTCTTTTTCTTTCGCCAGGTAATAATTGGCCTTTAGCCCAAACCAAGAAGAAAATTCTGATCAAGAAATGTTCATTTTTTATCCATCAAGCCAAATGTGTAAATCAATGCAGTTGAGGCGCAAAAGTAAAGGAAAAGTCAAATTGAGATTTCAAATTTTCTCTCGTTTCCATCTCAACGAATTGTCATGAAGCAAATCAATTATTGAACAATTTACAGGAGCAAAAATAGGCCTTTAAAATGATGTAAACATGATGCTGGTTAAACCATTTACATTTGTGTAAACGCTGTAAAAGCCATCAAGAATGAAGAGCCAAGAAGAAGAAGAAAAAAAAGTAATTGAAACAGCAAAGAAACAAGGAAAACTCACAATTTCTCATTTTAATGATCAACAAACGGAAAAAACTGAAGGGATAAACTGAATGGGAAGGTGAATGGAAGGCAACTAAAATAGGAAGGAGAGACTTGTATTAATTACAATGTTATCCTGAGGGCAATTTAAAGACACCACCAAAGTAGACTCCAACTTAATCTCAATTCACTTTCCTCTTCACCTTACATCATCATCATCTTCTTGCTCATCTTCTGTTTTTATTTTCTCTCTTCTCTTAATCTTTCCTTTTCTTCTCTGTATAAATTTATCAATTGAGTTGTTGTTATTACCTTAACTCGTGTGTGTTCTCGCCATTATTTTCATTTCAACTTTACCTCTTATCTTCATCCTCCTCATCATCATCATCATTTTCATCTTTCCCTCTCTATCGCCAGGTATAAATGAGAATAAAAATGAATTTCATTTTTTTTTGTTTCTCTTTCATAAACAGAGAAAGAAACACAAAAAAAAATACCAAATTCATTTATATCTTTTTACTTTTCACTTTTCCTCTTCCATATTATCATGAAGATAATTGTGATGATGCCTCTCATTTATCCTCATTATATTTATCATTTCTTTCGTTTCCTTTTCATCATCATCTTCATCATCCACAACTACAAATCTCTATGTATGTTTAACAATAATACAAGTCAATTAAGACATTAAAAACATTTCTCTTTCCAGGCTAAAAGGACAAAAGGTATCATTATCTTTCACCTGATTTTCAACTTTTACATTTACCTTTCATTGAACAGTTTATGATCATCTTTTGATCGTCTTTAATTATGATATCAATTTTTATGTCCCTTAACATTGTTTATTAATCATTTTTTTTCTTAAATCTTTTACAGTCTCAAAGTTAATTAGCCGTTTAGGACGCTTAACATTCAGAAGTCATTTTACCGAAGCAAGGTGATGAAAATGGATACAAACAATGGTTAATAGCGAGCTAATTTATTTCATTATTTATTAACTTTCACTGATTAACCTTTCAATTTTAATGGGAAACATTTGATGTCATGATCAACTCAAACATAGACTTTTAAAAGGCCTTAAAAGATGCAAAAAATGGTTAAACCGAAACAGATTCAACAATCAAGTCAAGTTCCGTGTAAAATCAACTAACACCAGATAATTGAATGTTGTACAACATACGTTTTGTAATATTGTAATACATCTAAATACATCCATTTTCTGGTTGATATTATTGTTGGACATTCAATTGAAAGATGATCAATTATGGTGAACAAAAAAAAAGTCAACCTGGTTAATCTGATACAAATTTTATGTATAAGTTGTTGGTCAAAAGAAAGGATAGGAACAACAATAAAAAAAACATCAAAATAATGATGAAAGTTAAGGTTCAGTATCTTTTGTAATCTGATGAAAAGCTGTGACAAAAGTTGACTTTAACAAACACCTTTGATGATAATCACCTTTTCCAGTTAACCAACAACAGCAACATTAATGGGAAAAGTCTTGGGATAAGAAAGGCTTTCAAAGCTAACTTTAAGGTGATAAAATGTACTGATAAAGTTGTGATTGCGACAATTGTATTGGCTTTAATTTTCAATGGTTAACTTGCTGACTTTTGTCAAAGTGTTGGTAGAAAGCAATTCAATCTTTTTCACTCTACAAATTGATCTCTATTTTTTCATCTGCATACAGGGAAAGGTAAGCAACAACAAAGTAATACAGCTTTTATATCTTGTACTAAACATTGCACAAATCTTGATAATCCTAAGCTAACATGGATAACACAAGAAATGTCATTATTATTTATGGTAAGCTGCAAGTGACAATAACTTGTTCAAGGCGAAGCAAAAACTCAAAAAGGTCTTGCTTTCCGTGTAACCTTTCAAGTTTACTTTGCATTTTTAGGTGAAAACAAGAAAATGTTTAAACTTTGATTGGCTGGAGAAATGCATGAAAACAGCGATCATCGCGATTTTATGTAACATTTGTGGCCTTTCAAGTTATTCACACGAGTCAATCATCGGACGGATGAAATTTTCCCTCACTTACATGTAACCCAAAGCATCATTTAGCCTCGCGTGAGATGCTGATGTAAACGGACAAGAAACGAGCCAAAGATAGTCGATGAAAAACAATCCATCAATCATTTGAGTTTTGCTAAGCTGCTTCAAAATAACTATCGCCAACATGAAGATAAATCCTGAATCACTCGAGTGAAAGATACAAAAATCATCGATAAATTTGAATAAAAATACATTTATAAAACCATTTTTTCCCGAAGTTATAATAGCATTTAAAGTAACCGTAATCTGTTGGATCGAACATTTGAACATTTTTTTCTTGAGATCAGTCCAAGAATGAAAAAAGGTCAGAAGAGATCAAAATTAATAAAAGAAGAGATCAAAAGATGAAAATCAATTTTCCATTGAATTCGCTGCAGATGGACATTGAACAATCAACAAAAAAGCCTGACTTTTGGGCCTTTCTAGTGTAGATCGTAAGGTCACTAAATCTGTTGGATTTCGAAGTTCTATCTCGCACTTGAATTTGTATGAAAATGTTATAATTTTGTTCTCAACACTCTTTTTCTTGTTACCATTCATTTGATACAAAAGTTGATGATAAATTTGTATTTATGTGTAGTTTACAAGCTTATGTGACCCCTCAGGACGAGCTGTTTCATGCCTTTTCCAACCTTTTACATTCTCCAAGTTTGCTGAATTTTAGATACAAACTGTAAGCAAAAACCTGATACAAATAAGCATGATTGATGAACTCCACCCGAAGGGAAATGAGAGTAAATTACATGATGATGAGAGGGATGAGGTGAAATGAAAAAATATAAAGATGAACGGAGAATGGAAAGAAAAAGAAATACATTTTTCCCTCTTTTTTTCCTCCATTTGACACATAATCTGATCTTTAATAGGAAATGCAATGTGTTGATCAGTTAAATATGAAAAAAGCAAATTCAAGATTCATCTTTAACCGACTCTCATTAATCAACAAATTGAACAATTTTCAATCAACTTTGAACCAAACAATTTGTTCATAAATTTACAATTTGACATCATCTTCATCTTAATCAACCTCAATCCGTTGGTTAACCTTCATCAGGCAAAAAGTAATTTGCAAAATTATTGAAACATTTTCTAATTGATTGTTTCAACAATTTATCCAACTTTTCCAGTCTTCAGTTGGAAAATGATGTTTCTTGTATTTCATGACGATCCATTGAACAATAATCATGTTTAATTGACTAATGAAAAACTTTATGCCACTTGTGCCTTTAAATGGTGAATATCATTTTTCGCCTTCTTACTTTTCAACTCAACCTGATATCATCACTATTAAGGTAATTATCATGAAGAGAAATGAAATGCTTCAATGAACATTCAAGACACATGTAAATTGTTTATAATCATGCAATTTAAAATTGTAAACTCAATCAAAAAAACCTTTCTTTACTGGTAAAGCGTAGGAAGCATTTTCAAGCTATTCAAATTGTTGAATCATTTGTTGATAATTTCAATGAACGAAGGTAAATGATTGCTATTTGTTTCCTTTGCATGACCATAATAATGATCAACTAATACTAAACAGTAATCATGGATAATGATGATAATCATTTCTGTTATTAATATTTAAATGAACAGTTTTGCCATATTCAATGCAGAGAGTAAAATGAAGTGCTTATGTTAGGAATGAAGTAAGGAAATGTATTGATATTGAGAATGAGTTTCAACTAAAAATGAGCAAATTTCATGAACAAGTTGAAAGTTTAATGAATTTCCATTTCAATTTGGGCAAAAGTTGACAATTGAATTGTAAAGTAAACTCAACAAATTTGGAAACATTTCAAACAATTTTGAATAAATTTTCTTTATTCAATTCAGCCTTTTGTGTTTCAAATCAACACTGAACATTTGTTTTAAATTTCAAGTTTCTTATTCAAATTTTCAACTTTGCCATCAAAAAGTTGAGAAAAGTTTAGGAAAAATTCTTGATCGAGCTATGAAAAAATCTCAAAATTGAAAACTGCCAATGATTTGACCCAAAATGATTTAACCCAAAATCAGACTCAGAATCTGAATTGTCACAGTAACTTATTTTGACCTTTAAACAGTTTTCACTCTCAAGTTCAATAGAAACAATTTCAGGTGAAGTTGAAGATTACATTTAAACTTAAAGTCGAAGTCGCTGAAAATGGAAATGTTGAACCTCAGATTTCATTATTCATATCATGATCTTTCATAGAAAACTCATCATTCAGTTGATTATCATAATAATAACTCCTACACTTAGATTTTTTGAAAAAATTCTCTAATGAAGAAAAGGTGCGATTCAACTGACCATTGAAGACTAATTGTTATCATTCAATTGCAATTTGATCAAATTCACTAAATGTTTATTATTGCAAACGAATGATGAAACTTGAAAACTTGTAAACTCAACATTTAATCGGTTCCATTGCAAGTTGTTGAGTTAATTTTTTACTTCAATTAATGGATAATTCATTTGAAAAGTATATTCTTTTCTTTACTAAATTCATGTTTGATTCCAATGAATAATAAACAAGATTCGTACTTGGATATAAAATGAAGTTTCCATTTTTTCCCCTGTTTATAAATAAATGATATTAACTGGGAGTAAATTCAACTGACAAAGGTAAAGTTTTGTTGCAACAAGAAAATTTGTTTCCTTTCAACTGAAAAGCTGAAATATGAAACTAAATGTTGGAGGAAAATTTTTGCATCTGACAAAAGAACTTTTCATCTTTTCTCGAAAAAAAAGAAATGGCAAAACATAAAGGCAAGGAGAGTTGCAAGTTACCAACGAAAATGTGAAACGGAATTGCAATAATAATGATAATAACTGTAACAATAATGATGATATATAGTTACAGCAAGATGAAGACGCAACTGATAAAAGGATTGCTACTGAATAAGTTGATATCAACAAGGAATGATAACAACAGCGTTAATCATTACAACAGCGATGATAAAATATTAAACAAGGGAAGGAAGTGAAAGTAAAAAAAAGAGACTTTAATCTTTACCATTTGTTATCTCAATCAAGTTATCATGAAAAGTTGGAGAATCATGAAAAGTCGCTTTAAATTCGAGATGGAAACATGAACATTTTCATTCATTTACATACTCAATAAGACGGATACAGGAAACGGAACATTGGAAACATTGAAAGTGTTTCCAGTTTGTTCAACTTTGAAAATTTGAAAGAAAAAGACATTTTTCTCTTTTCAAGTTTCCACAATTTGGACAATTTCTTGCTCGAACTTTTTTCTCGAAACTTTTCTCTTCTTCTTTTATCGATATTTTACATTTATCCAATTCATGATAATGTTCAACTTTGCTTCAATTATTATGGTCACGGTAAGACTATTATTGGCTTAGTTTTTCAACTGATACTCGATGTCTTTCAAAAGACAATAAACTCTATTAATGTTCCTTTAATGACCTTAAATCGAACCAAAATTTTCAATTTTTTCTCCTTTTTTTGTTCATTTTTCCGTTTTGTTTCAATTTTCATTTCATCTTGATGTTGCTCTTGAAATTTTTAAACTTTTTTCTTCTCTTTTTCAATGAACTTCATCAACTACTATTGCAACAATTGATTGTTAAATAATGATAATGACTATTATAATGATGATGATCTTTCTGCGTGTATAATTATCATGGCGATCATCATCTTTCCCATGATTAACAGTAATTTGCACGAAAAAAGTTTTCTTCATGTTAACCTGTTTTTATTTGCATTCAATATTTTTTTTCAGTTACTTGGTTTCTGTTTAATCGATTAACTGTGTTTAATAATGTTGCACTTGCAAATTGATGAAATGGCTTGAATCAAGAGTAAATATTATATTACCGCAAATTGATAACAATGTTGAACATCATTAACAATTGTTTGACTTTTAAATAATATTCAAATGTTATCCAAGAATATAAAAAAAGGCAAACTCTATTGTAACCCAATTTGGTTGCTGTAAATCAACTTGATTATCAATATCGGCCTTCATTGTTTCTCCATGAAATCATCATTTTCTTCCATTAACCCTTTTCCAGGGTGAAAAGTGTTGCTTCAATGAACAATCGTTTCATTAGCTTCCAATGATCCTGAAGCCGATCAATTACCACATTCAAATGGAATTGGAAAACAAAATTATTCAAATTTTAATCATTTCCACAAACGAATCTGTTCCTTGACCAGAAACAACTTGCTCATAACTAATCGATGAAACAAACTTTTTGAGCCTTCACTGATTCTTAGCCTCGGGAAACACTTACAATGATTTCTGGTAAACACTTAAACCTCTTCTTATTGATTCAGATTGTAATTCAATGTAAATCAGTTTTCGATCTTTCCTTTTGTCTATTTTGATTATTGCTTCGATTTCTTATTCTTCGACTCGATTCGCATGGAAATTTGCAAATCATTGAAATTTTCTGTCGCCTTCAAGAACTTCTTCTGTTCAAGTTTGGATGTTTTATAAAAGTCTATTTCGATCACTGAATTTTTGAGAGAAGTGTTTGAGAAATTTTGGTCTTCTTTATGTTTCGATTGTTTCGACTATAATTAGAGTTCTGAACAGTTAATGTTACTTGTGTGGTTAATGAGTTTTTGGATTGGTGATTATCTTTTGATTATAATTGCTGGACAAATATTTCTATTCAGTTTCACCTGAATT